GTTCGTCCTCGGGACAGTGGAAGGCAAAGTCAGGCGAGAGGGTGGAGACGGCGAGCCGGAGTGTAGTTGGCAAAGTGGGAGGGTGAAAGGTTGGCAGATGTACCGGCCGGAGTGAAGACGTGTTGGTCCAGTTGCATACATGCCGAGCCGGGCTGGCCTTGCAACTGATTGCGCTGTGGGAAGCATTTCTCATGCTCAGGCGCCCCGTGACGACAGCACTTGTCAGTCAGGATGGTTGCTGCAACGATAACCGCTACGGTCCGGTAGTCAGTCGCGTGGCACACCCGCCAACTGGCATAGAGGCACATTTGGATAAAAAGAGAGAACCGTGTGCTATGGCTCAGGCATGTTACGATTACGCCTTCAGAATACGTTCGGCCAGCACATTATTTCATTTACTTTGGATGGAGGAGGAAAATTATTTCGGCCGAGAATAACAAATCGGGACTGAGAGCATAACGAAGGCAACCGGACTGCCTTTTATCTCGCATGTAATTGACCTCATGCGTGTTCGGGTGGGCAAAGGCTGGGCTTCGCCTGATGGATCGGTCGGACGCAGTTAGAGCACTCGGCTCGCCAGAACCCCGCAGGGCGAAAATAGCCCGGTCCTAGAGTCAGCCTACCCAACCCGGTAGAGATGGTTACAATCAAACGAACGTCAAGTGGCGACTAGAGCAAATGAGCAATTTAGACTAAAAATGTATATTTGAGAAAAGAGGATAAGAAAGGAAAGAGGTTACATAAAAAATTCAACCATTTCGTTGCAAATTTTAGAATCAAATTGATGTTATAATAAAAATGATTTTTTAATACCATTATGGTTAATTTATCTTTTCTTTAAAAACGAGACAGACGCTTCAACCGTGGACAGACTCGAAGCCGCATCTAACCTTCTCACCGGCATCTACATGATCCAAACGAGCGCGACATAGCAAGAAACCTCGAACTCCAAACGCATATTGGTCGACAAAATCATCCTGAACTCGACTTCCCTAGATCTTCAATTAATCCATCTCTAAGGCTTCATCATATTTCTCGCAGCTCTTGCATCCGATCTACTGGTAGTCCCGAAAACCTACTAGACTGAAACTAAATATTGTAGTCGAATGATAAAGCGAATACAACTCCGCTTTGCTGACAATCCCAGCACAGAATGTGAAATGTAAAAATGTATTGTCTCCCTTGAAATTCACATCTTCCTTGTGACACAAGGACATTCTAACAATGCGGCAAGTAATGATTAACGTGTCGAGACTATAGACTGCAATAACTGGGTTCGAGTCCCGTTGGGGATGAAGATGAGGCCAATTCAGGCTAAGTTAAGACTCCAAAACGCTCCAATATGGAGGTGAATGCCTTTTGAAAAGCAAGAATGTATTAAATCCGATGAAAAAATGAGACCTACTCATGCCACTATGGCAAAACTAGACTAACATTCCATCATCAAAATAATGTGAATGCAGCTCTAATATTAAATCTACTCGTAGTCTCGAAAAGTTACTTAAAAACTAAAACGAAAACAGTTTTATAACCTGATTTTAGTCTAGTCCACCTTGAGAAATAGCGCCTGGAGTGAAATGCACACTGGGACTAGACCCAAGTGAAATCGGTCAACCAGAAAGATAAGAAACGGATCTACGAGACAATGTAAGGATCCGGATTGGAGGCCCGAGTCGGATAAGCCCATTGAAAG